TAAAATAATTAATAACATAAATAAACTCAAATATTTGTTTGTATTCTTCTTGTCACATATATAGGTTAATAATTAATTCATATTAAATTATTGGTGAGTTTTTTAAGAAGAATAAAATGCAGTATTCATGTTTTTATGTCTACAAAATTTGGTACATTTCATCGTGGATGATCAAAAGTTTATATATGTTGGAATTGATAATTATATATATATATATATATATTCTCTTATCTAGATTTAAATAAATAAACTAAATACTCTTGCCATTAATTTGTGTACATTTAGAGTTTATTTTGTTCATTTGGTTGGTTTTATTACTTCTTCCGTTTCACATACCATGCCGCATGAGAATTTAGAAAGAATATTATTAGTAAAAATAATTATAAATTAAAATTATTATAATTGTTTGATCTAATTAAGATTTAAAATTTTAAAATTATAAATTTAAAAATATGATTAAAGTGTTTAATTTTTTTCAAAAAGAGAATGCTACATAATTATGTGAAGCCGACAAAAACTGAAACGTAGACACAATACATGAGACGGATGAAATATTATTATTTTGTGTGTGTTTTATTTAGGTAATATAATTGTTAGATGTGATTTTTATATAAAAAAATTAATAGTATTATTTTCGTCTCAACTTAAAGTATATTTTTTTTAACCATTTCGTATATCTTACTCAAGTATTTATTTTTTATTATAATAAAAAAAATTATTAAGGTTTATATAAATTATAAATATATCACTATAAATACAATTAATTTATACGTAAAATTAAAAAAGTAAAAATATCAAATTATCTTATTATTTTCACTAATAATAAAATTGTATTGTTTGTTCTTTTTTATTTTTTTTATCTTTTATTATATAGAAAGTTTTATAATTTTCCACAAAATCATCATATACGATATAATTACAACGTAAAATATTACATTCAACGATTATTTTATATTAAAAAATATCAAACAACATACTAATAAAAAAATCTTAAATAAATAAATAACACCCTAAAAAGCACAAATATTAATTTAATAATTATATAAGCACAAATATTGATTTAATAATTATAAAAAAGATTGGCCCCTACATATTTAACTCACCTATTTTAAGCATTTGACTTAATTTCTCGAAGCTTATCCTTCTAATCATCACAATCAACCAAAACTAACCTCTACAATCTTATTTTATTTTTCAAAGAATATAAAATTACAAATAAATAATAAATAAATTAATGGTGTGTTTGGTTTGTGTCTTCTAAATTTTGATTTTTGTAGTTTTTAAATGAAATAGTAGTTGAATGTTATATATATATATATATATATATTAAATTATATGTTTTATTGGAGACGTATCAAGAAATAGTTTGTTTTGTTATTTTGTGAAAATAAAAAAAAAAATACATTTCTAAAAAAAATTCAAATCATTTCAACAAACAAACAGAAACGTTGTGCTTTTATAATAATCATTTTTTAAAAAATTAAAATAACAAACATACTTAAATATATATAAAAAAACCCTAGTTGTGTTTTTTTTTAAATAAAGAAAATTACTATTAGGTTCCTATAGTTTTTATAAAAATATATTATTATTTTTATATAAAATATCATATCATATCAAAATAATATTTAAATGAAAATTAAAAATCAAATCTAAATCAAACAAATAACAAATTTTAGGTATAACATTTAAAATAAATAAATACAACATATACTTAATTCATCATCACTCAATGTAACTATAACCAAGAAAATAAATCACATTTGGAGCCAAAAAGTAGACTTGAAAAAGTAAAGCCATTGAGTATGTTTAGTTTGTAATTTATTAAAACTAAGTAGCATCAAATAACTTCACATAATTCGTATCACTCAACATTATTATTTTATCATTTTCTTTTGTCCAATTCAAAAATATTAATTTACATAGATAAATACCAAAACACCACTCACTTTTATAAAAATATTCATTTCTTTCATATTTTTTTGGCAAAATTGCAAAAAAATCTCAATGTGGTTTGTGAAATTGGCTGAAAACCCCCTCTGGTTCTAAAATTGCAATTTACCTATATGTGGTTTCGAAAACGTTGCAAAAAGCACTCTTTCCGTTAATATTTAACAGAGATGGTAAAACACGTGCATGGGTTAAATTACAAAAGTACCAACATATTATTAATTTGACTAAAAGTCGAGATCTAAAATTTTCTTCTACTTTTTTACGCTACGCACGCCGCACCAGAAACAAGCTCTTTCGTTGGTACCTTCCTTACTAGCCTTGAGCACACCAACATGGGTCACCATTGCTGGAGAGAGGAATATAACACATGAAGTCGAACCCACATAATCAGATTGTGAAAAATCAGCACATGATTTGGTTGAATCAATTTTTAGAACACTTGGTGTGCGAGAATGAAGAGACAAGATTTAATGGTTGAGAATGCGCCATCGATTCAAACATGGCTGAATGAACAACATCAAACAACCAAAATCATACACCCAATTGTCTCAAACACCAAACAAATTAAATATTATCGATTCTATTTCAGGCCGAACAGGCTTGAAGAGTGATATGACTTATTTTAACTCAATAAATTAACTCAGACCACTTCCCTCTTTTTCCCCCTCTTCAATCATATTTGTACATTCATATATACATACGTTTTAATACATGTGTGCGTATAACTAGGAGATAATTAATTAATTAAATTAATTTATAACCATAATTAGACTGTTCATAGTTTTACGTGAAATTTATGAGAATATACTTTAAGAAGAAACAGCAGGATACTAAAATCCCTATGCAAACAATCAGTTAAACTAGTAAAGCTAGGCGAATAGAGCAGTGGAGGAGTCTCCGGTCGGCGGCCGCGACGGCGACGGTGAGGACTGAGGAAGACGAAATAGTTGTGGCGTATGGTATAGTATATATTTATGTTGTTACAGTATGTATGGATGTGTGTATAATGAAGAAAAAGTTATGGCATAACGGTCAATATTAAAAAAAATTAACGCCGTCAATCAAACTTTGTGTGTGGGAGCGAGTATGCAACGTTTTTTAAACCACAGAGAGGTAAATTGGAATTTTAAAATCAAAAGGGGTTTTCAGCAATATTCGCAAATCACAATGGGATTTTTTGCTATTTTGCCTTTTTTTTTTAAAAAAAAATATCAATATCATCTTTTGCATTTCGACTCCACTAACACGTGCTTAATAGACTAACCACTACTGTATTGATACCATCCCTTTTACTTAGAGCCGTCAAAATGGGCTGAGCCCGTCGGGTTGGCCCGTCCCGTTTTACTTTTAAGGAGGGTTGGGTTATGATTTTTTAAGTCCGTTAAAATGCGGGCCTAAATGGGCCAACTCGCATAGGTCGCGGGTTAAGAGTGGGTTAGCCCGCAGTGGAGCGAGTTAGCCCGCGAGCCAAGTAAATATAATAATTAGTACTTATCCGTCTAACTAAATGTATGTTTTTATCATTTCTTACAGTCACATTAAAAAATTAATAAAACTAATCAAATATTAATATCATAATATATTTTAATTTTATGTAAATTACAAATATACCATTATAAATACAATTAATTTATAAATAAACAAAGAGTAAAAAATATCAAAATCATCGCGTACAATTAATTTAATAAATAACATATGATTATTTTTAATCTACTGAAAAGAAATAATTTAAATTAAGACAGAATAAAATAAAATTTATATTATCATTAGCTTAAATAAATTATCAATATTGTCTGCATGTTGTTTTTCTTCTCTAACTCTGTTATTCACGTCAGCATTATTTGTTTCAATTTTTCATCATTTGTTTTTGTTTGTCTTCCATTTTATTATTTTATAATTTTACAAATTTATAAAATTAATTATAATTTATTTTTAAAATCGAGTATATCTTATTATTAATTTTTTTAAATACACTAACTAATAATATTTAGAATTGAGAATTTTTATATTTTTTATTTATTTTAAAATATTTATTATTTAAATTCTACAATAAAATTATTTTTAACTATTTTAAATATTAATTACGAAAATATTTATAATATTAATATTCTTTTAATATTTTTAAAAAGTCTGTGGGCTAACCCGCTTAGCTCGCCACCCGCCGGTGGGTTGGGTTGGGTTGATGAAATTTTGATACGTCCTGTCGTGGGTTGGCCCGCAAAGGCCCGCAAACAACCCGCTTATTTGCTAGTTATGATGGGTTGTGGGTCAATCCGTTTCACTAATCCGTTTTAATAGATCTACTTATACTCTCTCCGTCCGTCATATTTAACCCATCTGATATAAAAATTTTAAAAAATAAATAAATATTTTATTAAAAATTAAAAAAAAAGTAAAAAAGTAATGGAAGATATTTTTAAAAATTTAAAAGAAATACAATAAAATTAGTGATATTTGAGTTAAAGAAATGAATCATGTGATAAATGTATAAATATACATCAACACATGCTAAATATTATCTCAGTCATTGATTTGTATCTAATAATTTTTATCAAATAACAAAATATTTAAATCAAGTACTAATATAACATTCAGAATTCTACTGAATTTAGAATTTAAAATTTCAGCATGTTATTATTACAAATAAGTGTTGAATAAAATATTATAACTAAGTATAGATATTTTTTATTTTTTTTAAATATAATAATATAGTAAATTTAACGGACTAATGAAAAAAATAAAAATAAATGAGTCAAATAGAATAACTTTAAAAAAGAAAATGAAAAATTTGTGGTGCACAATTTCTTGGAATGGTGAGTAAAATAGAATAACTTTAAAAAAAACAGAAAAACTTTGTAGTGCACAATTTCTTGAAATGTAGATAACGAGTATCATGGATTCCATAGAAACGAGGGAATAGTGTATATTTTTCGATGGGAATTTCCTAAAAAAAATTGTCGTATATTCTTCAAATTCCTTATAAAGGATATTCAGGGGAAAATATATAGTACCAAAATAGAAATAAATACTAAAAAATAAAAGACAAAAACAAAATCAAAACCAAATTGTAATAAAATGGTGCACACTTTAGTTTCTTATTCAAGAAGGGTTACCCAAAATTCATCCCTATAAACAAACAAATACAAATTACCATTATCATCTTCATCTTCATCTTCATCTGTTGGGATCTCACAACAGACACATCAAACTTACAAGAACACATCAGCCACATTCCATAGTTCCCAAAAAATTTTTGAAAAATTTTGTTACTATGGCATCATCATCATCTTCTTCTTCATTTGCAACACAAAAGGTACATTCCCCAGTCCTCAGAAACCAAATCCTAAAGACGGCACCGGTAAAATAAAACGTCGTATAAAAACCGTACCTTGTCCGGGGGAGTCGAAGTCGAACCCCCTTTTATTACTTCTTCAACAGCGCCGCGCTGCACTGCGCCATAATCTTCGAAGCCCGCGTGATCGCATCAGTCATGTAGAAGTTGTCGACGGCACGCTCAAAAGGTGTATTTTCCAGCTTTTCCGCGACTTCCGGTCTCAACGAAGCAGTCGAGAATTCAGCCGGCTCCCTCTCGTCGAAATGAACAAGATTAGGCGCCACAGTCTTTATCCGCGATCGAACCCCACCCAGAGAATTGTACGGCAGCGGCGCGCCCGCCACCTCCGACAGCGCCCGGATGATTTTCCAGTCGTCGCGGGCGTCGCCGACAGTCGGGACTGCAGGAACCGTAGTTTGAGCGCATCCCTCGGTGTTTGCATACGTACCTTCTTTCTCCGTGAACGCGGACGCCGGCAAAATTACGTTCGCACGGTACACGCCTTTGTCGCCGTGGTGACCTTGGTAAACCACAAAGGCGTCGTCCGGGATTTTGTCCAAGTTCTCGTCATCGGCACCCATGAGATAGACAAACTTCGCGGATTCAATGCTATTTTCATTTTCGGGTACCAGGCCGAGGTCGAGAGCGGCAGCTTGGGCGGCGTTGAGCAGGAGGACATTTAGGCCGTTCCAGTCGGCACGAACGGCGTTTATTTTCTTGGAAATGGTCTCGACGATAGAGAATACTGCTTCCTTGTCCTTCCGGCTGAAGATTCCGGCCCCGACAATGATGACAGGGTTTTTAGCATTTGATAGGGTCGAATAAAATGGATGGCGCCCCTCGGCGAGTTCGGTAAGTGTTTCTGCGCCTGTGCCTAGATGGTCGTGATCGTAGTTGAAATCAGCTGTAGGGCCGACATATCCGACCTTTGCATTGTTGGCTCGAACAGTTTTCCGAATTCTTGCATTGACCATTGCAGCTTCAACCCTCGGCTGAAATTCAAAATAATCAAATACGGCGAATGAGTAGGAATGTAATAAGAACTTTACAAGCATCGACATGAAGATCTTAAGCAATAATACTTCATCAAATAGCTTGACTATATAGACAAATTCATCTCTCTATCATTTTCTAATGCGTGGGAATGAGAATCGAAAACTAGACACTAAGACATCCCTAAAAAGACGTACCAATAATACCCCTCGTGAATTTTGAAAGCATAATTCGCATTCTACAGATTTTTGTGGTTTTAGGAACCAATAATTTCGGAAATTTCATAGACGGCAGGGAGTTACTTGGGAATTTTTATAGACCGAATATCACGTCATAGAAGATCATATAATCTACGTAATCCCATTAATTAAAGCTATTGCGCTACCTTATTTCTTGAAAATACTATAATCGACAAAATTAAAAGTTGATTTACCTGTGTGCCAACCAAGAGGAAAGCATCTGCTTTCTCGAGCCCACTGATGCCTGTGTTCATTATATATCCAGACCGCAGGTCGGCATTAGGATTTGGGCCATTTCCCTCGCACCAGATGTTGTTCGAACCCATCTTGTTCAAGAAATCCTTCAGCGCCATCATAGATTCTGCATCGGACAGCTTACCGGCAACCCCAACAATTTCACTCGGTTTTACTTGCAGGATGACCTCTGCTACCGCTGTAAGTGCATCCCGCCAGTTCACAGGCTTGAAGCGACCATCCGGACTGCGAATCATTGGATCATTCAGCCTTTGCCTTTTCAGCCCATCATAGAAGAAACGCGTTTTGTCTGATATCCATTCTTCATTGATGTCCTGCACATTCAGGAAAAGGTCAAATAGAACACTCAAATGCCAAAGATTGTTTGTCACATATCAAGTCAATTTTAGATAAGAAAAGGATGAACGAATTAAAGTTTTGCGTGAATTGCAAATTACTGTGTATTGTACAAAATACTTTAAAAACAGCGATCAACGTCACCCCCCAAAAAAGTTGTTAGAACTCAAAAAGAAAAATCCCAAGAAAACTACCAACTGCCAAACCGACCAAAGTAAAGAAATGTAAGTTATACATAAGAAAATAACATGAAAAATCGACCATCTAAAGTTTTACATTTTGTGCTTGATCGAGCTAATTAATGTTTTAGGTTCCTTATGCAAGCAGTTGCACAAATAGCAGAATTTCACGATTAAGATTAGAAAGGAATTCGAGTTACCTCATTCAGCCGTGGCACTACCCTCATGACCTCGGGACCTCTGCTATCAACACGTATGTTAGAACCAACTGCATCTGTGACATCAATGGTTTCAGTTCCCTTTAGCTCCCAGTTACGAGCTTTAAAGGCAAAAGGCTTTGACGTCAGAGCACCCACAGGACAAATATCAATTACATTCCCTGATAATTCACTTGTCATAACTTTCTCGACATATGTTCCAATTTCCTCTCCACTGCCACGACCCAACATGCCAAGATCTTGAACACCAGCTACTTCGGTGGCGAATCTCACACACCTGTTTGTTTGGTGACAATATCAAAACTTAGTTCCACAAAATAATGGGACTCAGAGGCCATGATGTTATTCATCAATTATTGTGTGCAAAATAAGCCAATACTTCGTCAAATAGCTATTTATCTCGTTAAACCGAAACTACAAAGAGAATCCAAAAGCATCCCACTTATGTTGAACTCTTCTACTTTCGACTGAATTCCCTTATTACACTAAAAGCGTGTGTTTTCCTGAAGGATTTTAACAAACTTCTGATATTCATCAAATATTCTTTCCTAAAAACATCAAATCAAACACCTATTTCATTTTTTTATATTAGAGCAAGAGTGTAAAATTTTTCTTCAATTTGATGAATTCAGATAAGAAATAAGAATCCATGTGCATTTTGGAACGATATCAAATTCGCTGAATTGAAATCATATTCAAATTTAGTCAGCTTTTTCACTTCCAATTTTCCTCTGGAAACATATATAAATAGCTTGTACCTTGTGCACTGAATGCATCGAGTCATCACAGTCTTGACCAATGGGCCAAGGTTCTTATCCACTACCGATCTCTTCATTTCAGTGAAACGGCTTCGATCAGAACCAAAAGCCATAGACTGATCCTGGAGATCACACTCTCCACCCTGATCACAAATCGGGCAGTCCAATGGATGGTTCATCAACAAAAACTCCATCACTCCTTCTCTTGCTTTTTTCGCAATAGGTGTATCAGTCTTGATCTTCATTCCTAGATACAAAGATTTGTACTTAATTATAAAATTCAAGATATTTCATGGATAGATAAAAAGGACAATGCTACAAACACTTCGAATTTTGATTGAGATTAAGAAGCCAAGCACAAAGTTAAAAATAATGATCTAAAATTTTACGTAATCAAGAACGAAAGATCTTTTAAACTCCTTTTTGTCCATAAGAAACACAATCAATAAACTGTTATTTAGAATAACAGTGCCTTCACCTGTATTATGCACCTCGTGAACAAATGCACTAAAATCAAGAAATATCAATAAACTAGAGAGCACGATATAAATAGCACATGTAAACATCTTTGCCACCCGACTCATTGCATAAATCAAAGGTTGGATCAATTCAAGCACAGCTCACGTCACATGATGTTCAAGTTCTTGAATATTAATCTTTTCAATTTTGAGCCGAGACTTTAATTAAGCCAGTGGTAATTCAAGCTTTGAGCCCGATCTTTCTATTCAACATTAATATATGTATATTGAACTAATATCCTCTTAGATTCAAAATGTACACTAAACTAATTGAATAATTTCCTTCACCTAAAATCGTCAGACTTTCAAGCTACAAAATTGTGTCTCACTCCCAGACCAACCCTTTTTGCTCGATCAAAGATCTTCCAATTAGAACATCAATCAAAGTTTGATCATCTCTTCCAAGTGATTCTCAGAAGCAAACACTCAGAAACAGGGGATTTCGACAGAATTAAAGTGTGATATATTGATCTCAGCGTTTTTTTTTTTTTTTTTGTTCTTTCTTCTTCTTCGTCTTCTTCTTCTTCTTCTTGTAGATATACAGAAAAAAAGTAAATCCATACTGCAAATTATTATGTCAAACATCCTTCTGTCGATTCAAATCACTATCAATTTCATAGAATTCAAAGCTTCTTCTTCTTCCACCACAAATTAAGCAAGTAAAATTGATAGTTCAGGAAAATACTTACAAGTTCAAATTACATACACCAACTAATCTCAAACCCTAAAATGCCAAACCATGGAAATTGAGAAGATACCTGGGAGGGCGGGCATGGCGCAGGAAGCGACCGGCTTGGGAGATTTTTCCACCTCAACAAGACACATACGGCAGTTCCCGGCGATCGAAAGACGACTGTGGTAGCAGAACCTAGGGATATCAACTCCGGCGACTTCGCAGGCCTGGAGCACAGTCATTCCTTTAGGGATTTTGACCGGGTACCCATCGACAAACACCTCGATTGCGTCGTCCGGGTTGGGGAAATGAACCCTAGCGCCGGCCACAGGCTTCCTCTTGGGAAGATCTGGTTCGGGCTGGGCCTCGGCAGCCGCCGCTTCGGCGTTGCGAAGCTCCGGCGTTGAGACAACGGCGCGGCGGAGAACTAGATGATGGGGATTGACGGCGGCGAGCCTGGCGGACCGCCAAAGCGCCCTAGAAGCGATCTGACCCAATCCCATCGTTGTACGCTTGAGAGGACTGCCCAATCGAAGAAAGAGAATTCCAGAAGTAGGAAGAGTGTGGCGAAATGAGAGGGCAGTGGACTTGTGTTCTCCACGATGACGAAGAAGGGTAGGGTAGGGTAAGGATCCATTTTTAAAATCTGGGTACGGGTGGGTATTCGGATCAACCCAAATGCCCGTACTTTTTATATGAGTATGGATGTGTGTTTTGCCAAAAATACGGTCCTGTATAAATATCCGCAGTGTGTCGCACATAGTATTGATACCTCATACTCCCCTGTAGTATTTGGCTTTGAAATAGAAATTCACGTAAATAGTATTAAATAAAATAATATAATTAAAGAAAAATATAATTTTTTTCTTTTATTTTGAATAATATAAAAAGATAAAATATAATTAATTATTTTATATTTAAAAATATTACAAGGTGACGTACAAAAATATAATATATACAAATAATATATAAGAACGATCACAATTCATCCTAACTCCTAAGTTATCCTGTAATATTTTACATATATCAAATAAATCATATATATAACAGAAATAGTTTTTCTATATTACATATTTGTTGCATGGAAGATCAATTGCTTGAGTAATACAATCTTGCAAAGATTCTTTTATTTGAATATGTTTTTACATAATTTTACAGGATAAACGGAAGGGACCAGCCGCGTGACCAGACCGGTCAGGACCATCAACCAACTATCACAAAGCTAGGAAGATTTTCAACCATTTTGCACAGTTTTTTTTATCAACAAAAGGGCCTGCGATCGATTATTATAATGTCATAAAGACTTTTAACATAAGACACTACTGCAGATTTCAATCACAAGGTGAACGAGAGCTTCTCACAGTCACAATCAATGTTCAATGTCATTCAATTTACTAACGAACTCAATACTAGTACGATATTGTCTATTTTGACTAAGTCGTCTCGAATATGTTTTTTTTAACATTATTCATGTGGAATTTATAAGCATTTGGTTTCAATTTTGTTTGCATATTGATGGTTGTCTATTGTTATTTAAGTAGAATTTGTAGAGTTATAAGTTGTCCATTATTTGTTTGAATCTTAATAGATGGATTGTGTTGAAACACTCAAATTTAGGATGTATTGAAGATTGTACGAATAAGCAAACATTTATTTTTTATTTGCCTTTTAATTTTTATGTAATGCATTATGTAATTTCGTTTATCAAAATAATCATCAAACAATTATATGAGCACAACAAATCTTGAGAATTTTTTTATTACATAATCGTTCATTGTTTATATTTTCGATCTTTTTTGTTTAATATATATTTGGAAACCATTATATATATGAATATGTTTGATGCAACGTAAGTTCTCGTAGTAAGAGCTATGTAAGCAAAAATTGATTAAATTGCAATCTAATGATAAAAATTGTAAGTGTCCATTAGAGATGAATTAGATTTGCACAAAAAAATGAAAATAATACTTCTACTTGAGACTTGAACTACTATCTATATTGTGACCAAAATAATATATATATATACATTAACAACATATTATTTTAAAAATTTAAACCTCAAAAAATAATATATATTAGTGATTTAGATTTGAATTCTAGACTGAACGCACCAAAGCATCATCTTCAAAATTTAATATTAATACTTTATCATTCTTACAAGACTTTAACAAAAAATAAAAGTTATCATTTTTACTAGACTTTACTCTACCAGAAATTTAGGTTATAATTGCAGTAAAAAATGTCATGATTTTAATACAAATTGGTGATTTTTTACTAAAAAGTCACGGAAAAATATACGGAACCATTTCCTTGGAATTTTGTTGGTGACTTTTTTTAAGTGGTGACATTTCTGTGACAATAAGCTATAGAATAATACTATGACATGACCGTGACTTTATATAGCAACAAAAGCTGCAACAAAATTTCGTGAATATTTTATAATTGTGACATTTTCGTGACAATAAGTTACAAAATAATACCATTACACCTCTATGACTTTATATTAACGAAAGTTGTAACAATTCTGTGATTTTATATTTTTGAAAAAAAAAATTATATAATAATTTTTGTTCATTACAACCACACACGATTATAATTTAATTTGCAAGTCGAAGGGTTTCGAACTAGTGACCTTATAATTATTAAAGATATACACGACATGTCATGCCAACTTAGCTATCTACTCAAAAATATTAATTTTTATTTGTTATTATATTTTAACTATATAAATATTATTGATTATAAATTTATCCTTTAAAAATATATACATATTTATTTAATATATCATCATGATTTTTTAACAAAAAAATTGAATAGTTACGAACGATATTAATAAAGATATTGAAGATGATTTTATTATTTTGTTATTACTTTGAATAACTACAAACAATAATAAGAAAAATTTATAGTTGTTTTCGTTACTTATGTTGTGACATTTGATTTTAAAAAGTCACGAAAATTATACTATAACAATATCTGTAATAATTTAAAATGTTGAAAATATTTTGGTTATTTTTGCCGCAACTTAAAATAGTCAAGAAAAAATTTCGTGACAATTTTTGTGACGAAATAGTCAAAAGACACGGAATAGAAATATTTTGGACATTTTTATTACATAAGCCGTTACTTTAAATAGTCACGGAAAGTTGTTTGTAGTTTTTTCTGCAAATATTACTTACGGAATAGTCAAAGCAAAAAATTGTGACATAAATTTATCATTAAATTACTTTTCGTGACTTTTAATTGTCACGACAAATTCCCGCAATTATCAACCTTTTTTCTAATAGTTTTGACCAAAAATAAAAGTGAAACATGTGTGTATTTGTTTTTTTTCTACTCACACATTATGCTCTTCAAATTGAACCTGAGTTATAGCCTTCAAATGAAAATGGCTTGACAAGTACGGTTGTTTTGTGCTTGGAGTTTGAAGATTTTTATTTATTTATTTTTTTTTATGTTAAATACAGAAAAATATATTAATAATATAAAAAATAATATTTTGACAGTAAAGATAGAGGTAGGAGAGAAGTTGCAGCGACAATTTAACTAGACAGTGGTCTTATTCGAATAATATTGCTTTTCTATTATTTAAATTTGGCAAAATAGCATCAAATTCTTCTATGATTTGCCGATTTTGTTGAAAATCCCGTGCTCTGAAAATTTTATAAAACTTACTCGTGATTTTTAAAATATTGTAGAAGGAAAAAGATGCAGAAGGTAGGAAAAGAAAAGAAGAAGAAAAATAAATGGAGAAGAAGAAGAAAGTGCAGGAGACTGTGTACATGTGTACAGAGAGGAAGAAGGGTGATTTAGAAAGGGCATAATAGTCAATCTGTATAAATATTTAACATTGTGATTGCAGTTTAGAAGAAGGGGTTTGTTTTTTTTTTTTTTTTTTTTAATTACAAAAAATATATATATTAACATAAATTATAAAATATACAAAAAAATCTAATAAAAAAAATTCAATTACAAACTAAAACCAAACAAATTTATAATTTCGATTTACTTAAAAATCATTATATCCAATTTTCAACTAAAATAAAATAAAAAAAAAAATAATAATAATAATAAAATTACCATTTATAAAGTTGCCATTTCGATCACGACCACTTCCATCAAAGGCAACGCCATGGCTACGTGATTAATACCACGTTCAAACCCTACATCTCCACCGTTCATTCTCCGCCCCCTCGTCCATCTCCACCGTCCATTTCTCAACACCCCTCTTTCCCGTGAAACTCCTTTCACCACGTGACCTTATCTCTCCTTTTTTTTTTTCCATATCCTTTTTCCGTTCATCTCTTCACATTTCAATCCCAAAAATTCCCCAAATCTGCAAACCCTAATTTTCCTCTCAAATTAAAAAAAATCAATGCCGTCGTTCAGAAAATCATCCTTTGGGAGACGAAGCTCCGACATCGGAAACAATGGCGGCGACGGCGGCGGAGGAGGAGGAGGAGAGGAATATTTGGTGGAGAATGTGAGGGATCGAATCGCGTCCTCGCGCCGCAGCCAGCTGGAGCTGATGGAGAACGAGTTAGGGCTCGGCCCGGCCCGAAGGATCGGCCCGCAGAGGATAATCGATGGATTGAGAGACCTCTCCCATGGATTCTTCATTAATCCCGATAACAGGTACTCACTCTTCTCAACCTATACATACACGGTTTTGTATGTATATGTATGTATGTATGCATGTATGTACCTGTATTGTTCTTATCTTACTTTTGGTATGATTTTAGTTATGTTATTTAAACTAAAAAGAATGTTGTCGTCAATTTTCTATATATATTTTTTAAATTTTGATATATTAAGTAATTAATTGATAAAATATTTTAAAAAATATTAAAAATTCAGTATATATTATCTCTAGTAAATCAAATAATCTAACTTTTTACTACTTTTTAAACCAAATTTAACAGTTTTTGTAAGTTTGGAACTTGAAATCGGAGAGTGTTTCTGATGTTTTTTAGTAAATGTTTGAAAAGGGGGAGCATAGTAATCAGGACAATGGTGACACGTGGCGGAAAGTTACTTGCGGGCTTGGTTTGACTTTGATATTTTTAATGGTTGAAAATTGACATGTGAGAGTATCTGTTGGGACACGTGTAAGTTGTTGGTTGGTTGAAAGTTTTTGAAACTATCAAATCGGATTGAATAGATATGTTTCTTTTTGATAAATTTTAAAAAAAAAATAATTTAAATTTGATAGTAAAATAATGTACAATAAAATATTTTGTGAGGAAAAAAATGAAAAAAAATGCAGAGTCTAATTAGAGACAATTACTTAGAAAAAAAAATGTACTCTTATAACGGTGAGATAATGTATTCAAAATTTTGAAAAGTTATGAATTTCTATATAATATATATAAAAAAAAGAAAAAAAAGACTGATTGCATTGAGTAATTTTTACCCTTCCATAGGGTTCTGATAGATGTTTATTGTTCTAATCAGTACTTTAGTATAATATAAATAGTACAAAAATTGTTCGAAAACATAAAACAAGCAAAGCTTGATTCTTGAAAGAAATGTATTGGTGTTTTATTTTGAATTTTTTATTTTTTTTATTTTTTATTTATCTTTGTGGTTTGAATAATTATTTGATATGATATTTTATATTAAAAAAATATAATTCTATTTGATTTTTTCTCAATAATTACTAATATAATGAAAATTTGCAGGTGGTACAAAGCCTGGCAGAAGTTCATACTTCTATGGGCAATTTACTCATCGTTCTTCACTCCAATGGAGTTTGGATTCTTCAGAGGCCTCCCAAAGCATCTCTTCCTTTTGGACATCATCGGCCAGCTCGCTTTCCTCGTCGACATTGTCTTAAACTTTATTGTCCCTTACAGAGATCGACATTCTTACAAGATGATCTTTAACCATAATGCCATCGCCATCCGGTCAGTCGTTCATTTCTCTTCGCAAAATATTCAATTCTAGTTTGTTTTGACGATGATGTTTGATGCTCCCGCCTTTGCAGGTATCTCAAGTCTCATTTCTTTCCCGACCTTCTCGCTTGTATGCCGTGGGATGTCATTTATAAGGTTCGTCATCTTCAAACCTTTCGAATGTTTTTGTCGCAAATGATTATATCACAAAAAAGTCAATTTATCTAAAAAAGTTGAATGAACATACTCACATATTTTTTTTTTTGATAATACATCACATCAAATGCTCAACTATTTACTATTACCAAAATGTTACAAAATTCTATAATTTCCAAAACTTCTACCTTATTGGAATCGAAATTTATTTTTCGATGATATGAATATATAACAAAATGTGTATTTCTTATACATAAAAGCGTATACTTATGGAGATGTATCGTCGTATTCGTATTTGTTTTTAGCTTTAGCTATTGAAGGAACATCATCGAAGTTTTTTCTTCTACGTTCTTGTGTTCATAAGAATCATTTTCGATAAATATGGATACTTAATGTGATCGTGCTTCGATTAGGGTGTCGGGACGCAAGAAGAAGTGAGATACATGCTATGGATTAGGCTAACACGGGTTCGCAAGATCGTAGATTTCTTCCAAAAGTTGGAGAAAGACATACGTATAAATTACCTCTTTACTAGGATCGCGAAACTCATCTTTGTCGAGCTCTATTGCACGCACACCGCGGCGTGCATTTTCTATTACTTGGCGACTACGCTCCCGGAGGAGAAAGAAGGACACACTTGGATCGGTAGTTTATCGTTAGGAGACTACAGCTATTCGCATTTTAGAGACATCGATATTTGGAAACGTTACACAACTTCGCTCTACTTTGCCATTGTCACCATGGCCACCGTAGGCAAGTCATGTGTTTTTTCTTTTCTTACATATTTTCAAGAATGATGTTCGATTTTATACTATGATGTCTTGTTCTTCAGGCTACGGCGATATCCACGCGGTCAATATGAGAGAGATGATATTCATAATGGTGTACGTCTCGTTCGACATGGTCCTCGGTGCTTATCTAGTCGGTAACATGACCGCGTTGATTGTGAAAGGCTCGAAAACGGAGCGATATAGGGATAAAATGACCGATGTCACTAAATACATGAATCGAAACGAGCTTGGGAGGGACCTTCGGAATCAAATTAAAGGGCACCTCCGGTTGCAATACGAGAGTAGCTACACCGACGATGCTGTTCTTCGAGATCTCCCGATCTCAATACGCGCCAAGGTAAGGATTTTCGAACCTTTAGTAACATTAATTTTGTCATTTCAATGAAAAAACCGACTCTTTTTGCAATGAAGTTTCTTGTTTCCTCGCGTAGATATCTCAAACCTTGTACAAGTCCTACGTCGAGAATATCCCTCTTTTCAAGGGTTGCTCGGCAGAGTTCATCAACCAAATCGTAACCCGGGTGCACGAGGAGTTTTTCCTCCCGGGCGAAGTTGTAATGGAGCAAGGGAATGCCGTGGATCACCTCTACTTCGTTTGCGATGGTGTTTTGGTACGCGCATTCGATTTTTTTCATAACTAGCGATGAAACGAGAAAAAAAAGAAAATGTTGTGTTATCATGTCGAATCTCCGGCTCATTTAAATTTTCGACTTGATCAGATCAACGCGGTGATGTCATGTCATTGTAGGAAGAGGTCGGGATAGCCTCGGATGGGACCGAAGAAACAGTATCTCTTTTGGAGCCCAATAGCTTGTTTGGAGAGATTTCGATTCTTTGCAACATCCCACAACCTAACACGGTCCGTGTTTGCCAATTGTGTCGACTCCTACGCATCGACAAACAATCCTTTTCGAATATCTTCGACATATACTTCCAAGATGGCCGGAGAGTTCTCACCAATTTGCTCGAGGTACTTTCAAAGATCATATCTCAGCTTTTGGTTGATCCAAAGTCATATTCTTACAAACCTTTCGATGATGATAGGGGAAAGAATTGAATCTACGCGTGAAGCAAGTCGAGTCGGATATCACGATCCATATTAGTAAACACGAGGCCGAGCTCGCCTTGCGAGTGAATAGCGCGGCTTATCACGGCGATCTTTATCAACTGAAAAACTTGGTTCGATCCGGAGCCGATCCTAACAAAAGAGATTACGATGGTCGAACAGCTTTGGTATATATACATACTAATAATCTACTCGGAAAAATTGCAAATCTAGTCCGGTTCTTAACTCACTCAATTTTATGCTAAAATTATAAACTACGGTGACTCAATTTTAGAGGTGGATAAAACTACTATTCATACTATATTAAAAACATATCGTAAGTTTCGTATTTTGGTGTATCGTAATTTTTGGAATGATAACAGTATTAAATTTTATATATTGTTATATACTATTATCGTACCAAAATATAGTATATACTAAAAGTTTGGAATATAGGATTAAAAAGTCACCGATAATGAACATAATCAAAATTTTCATAAGTATGTAATTAAACAGAGCCATACTAAGGTGAAAAAAAAAGCTAGAAGTATTTCCTTTGTAGTCGATTTTTATGTCTCAATGTACGATTTAAGAATATCCATATCGATGTTTTTCCACAGCACCTCGCTGCGTCGAGAGGGTTTGAAGACATTACCTTATTCCTTCTACAAGAAGGCGTAGATGTGAACGCCGAAGGTAATACTTAAAATGGTACGCAACACGAATGCGCTATATCACCTAAAAACTCAAGTCGATAAAAGTATGCATAGTTTTCATATTTATTTACACAATTCTTCGGATACTTATAAATTTTGCCTCCTCGATAGATAACTTTGGGAACACGCCGTTGTTTGAAGCCATCAAGAGTGGTAATAATCAAGTTGCTTCGTTGCTCGCACGAGAAGGGGCTTTGCTAAAAATGGACAACCCCGGTGGGTTCTTGTGCGCGGTGGTTGCAAAGGGCGACGCGGATTTGCTCAAGAGATTATTGTCGAATGGCGTCGATCCCAACTCCAAAGACTACGATCATCGCTCCCCGTTGCACGTCGCGGCCTCTCAAGGGCTGTATTTGATGGCAAAGCTACTTGTGGAAGCTGGAGCTAGTGTTTTTACAAAGGATAGGTACACTTAGTTTATTCCTCTTTATCGATTTTTTTTTTCTTTTTTTTTTTCGAGTTTATCCATTGTTGAAATGGCTATCGAATATGTTCATAGGCGAGGCGATACCCCGATCGATGAGGCGCGGTTTTGTGGAAATAAAAGTGTGATCAAGCTTCTTCAAGAGGCGAAGACGGTTCAACTATCAGAATTCCCCGAATATTTCTCAGAGACTCCACGTGCTTTTCAACCAGGTATTTTTTGCTTCTTGTTGCAAAGTATGTTCTTTCAAACTTGGGTTTTGGGTTTTTGTTTGAGGTCTAGATATTATGTCTTGTGGAAAAACAATAATATATTTTTATAGAAAATTACGATAATTTTGTTATAAAAGATATGAAGCTAAACTCCAACGAAAAAAGCTTTATGTTTTTCAATACTTAAATGTTTAAACCTAACTATAAGATCTTTAAACTTCATTTTAATAAAAGTTATATGTTACTAAACTAAACATACTTTATTAAAAAAAAAAATATATATATATATAATTGCAAAATTCGATTGATTAATTTTAGTGTACATTTATAATTCATTTTCTACTAACACATGGTTCGAACATGTTTCGATATTTAATAGAAAGAGCCCGCACAAAGAAGTGCACGGTTTTCCCGTTCCATCCATGGGATCCGAAGGAGGCAAGAAAACACGGGGTTGTAATTTGGGTTCCGTCCACCATTGACGAGCTGATACAAAAAGCATCGGAGCAGCTTGGAGTGGATGATGGAACGAGTGTTCTATCCGAAGATGGAGGTGAGATTCTTGAGGTGGATATGATCGACGATGGCCAAAAATTGTATTTGATCACTAAAAGTCGGACAAATTGAATATCAACAACACGTACGCACATATATAATCAACACGATGCTGATTAGAGTTAATCATATATATATATAGATGGACTTAATTTTTGTGTGTACGAAATTTGGAAAAGAAAGAATGTAAAATTTATTGTGATTTATGTTGTCTACAAAATAAAATTAAAAATCATATATATTGATTGCGTTCTATTCGAATTAAAAATATATTTTTATATCTAAATAATTATTCAAATAAAAGATTGAAACAAAATAAATAAATAAAAGGACTTTAATGATCTCTTCTTTTGTATTCCTCTTGTTTTATGCTATTTAATTTGTATATTTATTTTTTCTTCAAAGTGGAGTATCTTTTTAATTTTCCAAAAAAAAAAGATAAAAAGTAGATTGGAAGTGTATATTGCACTCTATTCTCTACGGATGGTTATATTTTAAATTAAAAATTAATGTTTGATATGATATTTAAAAAAAGTAAAATATTATAGACTGAATATTACTACTTAGGTATAAATAAGTAGTAAAATAATATCTCTTTGTTTGTATTATTTTTAAAATTTGAATATTATATATACCTATCTTAAATTTTATTATAAATGATGTCTTTAGTTTGTATTTGTGATTTGTATTTTATATGTTGTGAAAATTGAGAAATTAAAAAAAAAAAAAAAAGCAAACACACACACAAGAACGTAAAGATTCGTTGATCCAGTTCGATCAAAATATTTTCTAGTTTTGATAGCGTTCAAACTAGATATTTTCATTAGTATTTTCAGATGTTGATTACAAAATAAAATAAAATAAAATAAAAAAACATTTGGTGGTATATATAGATGTCTATGTTAGAATTCTAGCATGAGTACAACAATATAGTGGTTGGATACAATGTTTCGTAAAAGAAAATGACATTTTTTATAAAGAATCATGAAAATTCCATAGTAAAATAAGTACTAAGAAAAGATCTCTAAGAGAGTAGAGAAAAAACTCAGTTGAAGCATCACAATATTCCGATGCTATTCAACAAACCAAAAAACTTACATAATAAAAACAACAACAAAAATTAGGCTAAAAATAATAATCTAAGTATAATTTGCTCACTCTTTTAAAAAATACAAAATTTAAATCTACATACATGGAAACCAATTCAATAGCAAGTTTTAGAAATACATCTTAAAGACAAAAAATGAAAAAAAAAATGTTTTGTTTCATATGTATACATACTCAAAATTATTTTTATCGTAAAATTTGTACTCGGATACAACTTAGTCCTCCACACTACTATTTTACCCTCTTGATCTTGCCTTCACATTATAAAAATACATAAATAGAGCTGCGATAATTCTAAAAACTAAGTAAAAGTACAAGATCAAAATACTACGACTACTCAAAATTTTATGACAAAACTAACATCTGGATATACGTACAAAACAAAAATTATAATTTCTCCGAGAGAGTCAAGAAGAAGGCTATTACACAAACCCTCGACCTCAAGTCAACCCAAACGAACATGTTGAACTTGTCGAAAATGCTTTTGTGCTGCCACGTTGCTTGCAATCGCAGGATCATCGGGTTTATCTTCGAGCATATCTCGGGCTCGGCCGAAAATCACAAGTAGAAGACTGTCCCAAATACACCCCAAGAGGGGAATAGAGGACAATTGTGAAGAAATTTGTTTTCGATTCATGGCTTGATCAAGGGATTCAATCAAGAGGGGAATTTGTTTTTGAACCATCAAATTCTTGAATGTTTGTGAATGAAATCTAGGGTTTGTCTGTATTTATATTGAAATATATTTTAGGATGTATATATGTGGTGGGGACAATACAACACGTTCATATATAGCAACCAAGAACCTTCATTTTCTTGGCCATCAAGAATAATGTGCTTGCTTTTACATAATATAAAGAATTATATATATATATATAATATAAAACAAAAAACTTGCCAAATTATATTTATTATTATTATTATTATTATTATTAGTATTATTATTATTGTTGTTGTTTTTTTTAAAACTAAAAAAATAATTTTTTCTTTGGAATTTGGTTTAAGTTTTCTTTTTATTTTTTTTTCTTTTACTATACAATTATGGAGATTTCTATAAATATATTTTATTTTTATCTCACAAAACATTAAATCCAAACTACTATTCAAAATAAATTTCAAAACTAAACTCTAAAAAAACACACGAATTTGTTTGATTATGCTATGGTGTGTTTGTTTGAGAGTTTAGATTTTGAATTGAGATTTAAATAGTAAAAATTTTGAATTTGAATAGTTGTATGATGTAATATAAATAAGTGTTGATGTGATGTTTTGAATGTAAAATTGATTTTTGGTATAATATAAAAAATAAAAAATAAGTGTTTGATTTGATATTTTTAGAAAAAAAAAATAATGAAATGAATAGTAAATTTAAAATTCAATCCCCAAACAAACCCACAGTAATATATAATTCGTTCCTCCTAAAAAGTATCACATCGCATATTTCTTTTTATTTAACAAATTATTTATATAATTAATTTTCTATTAATTCTTTACATTAAACATTTGTTTATATTATATGAAATAATAATTCAATTCAAAAATTTTATTATTTTAATAATATTGCAATAAACACGTCAAAATACAATCAAACGAACCCTATTTGAATTTCTTATCACAAAATATCATAATCAAACTAATATTTAAATCAACATACAAAATTAAATTTAGTATAGTATTTATATTTATTAATTTTAATTTGATGCATAAGATATAGTCTGAAAGTTTATTACATAATTTATTTTAATGTTTGTTAAATTACTAAGAATCATGTATATACATATTTTAAAAATTAAACTTTTAATTTATACGAATAAAATGAAATTAATGGATTCCTCCTACCTTCCATTTAGTGGACGAAATCAATTTATAGAAAGTGACATTCTTATCATTATTTTTTACATTTTGTTTTTAAAAAAAAAGTGTGGAGACGTGTTCCTTTAATATTTAGATTTAAATTTATAATTTAAAACTAAAATTGAAATAATATTTAAGATGTATTTTGAATTTCAAATTCTCATTACCAAAAGTTTAAATCAAAATTCAAAGTAAAACCTCGCTTTCAAATAGAGCTGACAAAAAACAACCCGATACGAAATAATTGGGTTTAGGTTAAAGATTTCAATCCAATTATGTATACGGATTGACACGAACCCGACACGATAGTAAACGGGTCAGGTTAAGGTTGAGGTTCTCAACTCGAATCCGACACGACAACCTGATTATAATATATTAATATTGATTAGTATATTTATTATATATGTAAAATAATCATAATTAATAATTTTCTCATAAATTAATTTAAACTAAGTTCAATTTTAAATAGTTCAACCTAATTTCGCTCAAACCAATAAAAACTAACATAACAAATAATTATTTAATTTGAATCAAGAAATTCGACTTAATTATTAATACGGGTCAACACGAGTCAACCCGAACCCGACACGATAATATACGAGTCGGATTAGAGTTGAGTAATTTAACTCGTTTAAAATATTCAACCCGACACGAATCGACCCATTGTCAACTCTACTCTCGAACCAAAACCAAACAAACCCTAATTTTTTATAATATGTTATTAATTAAAAAATAATCATTTCATTATTTTATTTGATGATTTTGTGAAAAAATTGATAAATAATAAAAAAAATAAAATTCTGAACTAAAATATAGAGCAGTATATATATTTTTAAATTAAAAAAACAATAATCCAAAATATATGAAAAGCATGACCAAACACAATGCAACGCCTACCAAAAGTGACTTGATTTTAAAATTTCAAAATCGGCAATAATTGTGCACTATTTAATTATATACTTATTTATGTGGGAAATTTCTTTACTTAATTATATTTTATTGAAAATATTTAATCATTTTAAATTAAAAATATATAAATCTTTATTCTTTACAGCAATTTATTGTTTTAATAAAAGACCTCTGAACAATCTGTAAACTCTTTTCAAGTAGAGACAATTGTTTGTAGTATACTCCCATTTCCACACATATATAATTTTTTTATTTTATTTTTATTTTTTTTAATACAAGACTTATATATGTTTTTGATGAATTATTAATGTCTAAATAAACTTGAAAACATAATTGATATGTTTTTTTTTTTTTTTTTTTTGATCGTTTGTATTATACTATCTCCGTTCGGCTTTAAGAGTCTTATTTACTTTTTGTGTGATGATATTTGAATATTAATTATTATATCAAAACATAGTACAAATTAAGAAAAAATTGCAAAAATACTTTAATTAGTGTCTTGTAATACTAATAAAAGGACATTTGTACCCAAAAAATTATACAAATATAAAAATATTTTTAATGTTAAATACAATTATGCAAAACTTAAATGTGAAAGCGGAAGGAGGGATATACATTTTCAGATCACTTTCTTGTTTTACTATCATATCATAGTTTATTCACAAAATATATTTACATTTTATTTAGTAAAAAAAAAAAATCAATTATTTTTTATAATTTGTACTTACTAGTTTCCATTTATTTATACAATTATACAATTTGTACTTACTAGTTTTTTCGGGTCTAGTCCAGTTTGACACACAGATCAATTGGTCTCTTGCCTGAACCTATAACGGTCGATCTGTGCATGGTCCGAATAGATTTATTAAAATTAAATATTAATTTTAATATCTTTATATGTATATTAAATAATACCATAATGACAAAAAATAAAAATATGATTTGATGGTAAATTTCTCACAAACAAATAATAAAAATTAGATCCAATTTCTATGAAAATATAACTATTTTAATTCAATTTTTATTATTCAAATTTTAACTTAAAATCGAATTTTCAAACAAAGACACCTTTAGTTTTTTGTCGGCCTCAATGATACATGTAATATAGGGAGAGGCCAAATATTTTCATGAATCCTATATTAACTATGAGGAAGGCATACCCATTATTACTACAATTTGAAAAGGAAGAAGTAGAACTAGAAATACACTCAAAATTACAAGTGAATTATAAATAACTTCGCAAAAAAAAAAAAAACAATTAAATTGTAACAAATAAATTAAAATCACCAAGAATTGTCGATCGGTTTTTGCAACAAGGCAGAGAGGTACACCTCATTGAGGTGGGCCCCTCTGTCGAGCTTTTTCCCGAATTCCCACTTCACTTTCTTCCATCCCACACTCTCAATCAGCGGCGCGTGCACCTCCGCCATCTCGCCGCCGCCGCTGAAGAAGTGGTCCAGCCAAAACAGGCCCCCCGGCCGCACCACCCGGTAGATGTCGAACATCGCAAAATGCAGCAGCCTCGCCGGAACCCACCCGCTCAGCACGTGCATCGAGTGGACTATGTCCACCGTGTTGTCGAAAAATGGCAGCCGTTGAGATATGCTCAGGTACAGCGGCACCACTCCCCGGCCGGCGATGAAGCTGCTGAACGGCCCGTTCAAGTTCATCGACGTGGTCACCACGGTCACGTTCCGCTCCCGCATCCGCACGGCAAATGTCGCCGTGCCGCCGCCGATGTCCAACCCGATTCGAATTGTCCCCGGCGCCGCCGCCGCCAAAACCTTGTTACATTTTGGAAGTGTTGGATGAGATTAGATGAAGTAAATGACTGACTTACTTGTAAGTTTAAACTTTTAGGGATACATATCATTTATTTATTTATTTATAAATGGAGGTCCATCAATACGCTCCTCACGCGATAAACACCACCAAACGGAACTTGCATGTGAAAAACGACAAAAGAGGACGGTGAAACTCAAATTCGAGACCTACTGCTTTGATACCATATTAGAAGGAATCCGAACTTTCATCCTAAAACTAATGGAGTGTCCGTATTTATGAATTATGTTCTCAATAGTTGTTTTTAGGAGAGTTTATTGAATATTCTCTCCGTCTCTTAAAAAAGTGTTCACTCTTTTTTTGTCATGTCTCTTCAAAATATTTTATTTATTTATTTAACATAATACTTTTTCTGTTCCAACTTCAATAATCATTTTTATCATTTTCGTCTGTTTCAATTTAAAATATCTTTTTCCTAATTTAGTAAAATTAATCATACTCCAATATCCTAACTTTTACTTAAATTATAAACATATAATTACACATACAGTTATTTTTTTTACAAAATAAAATGGCAAAAATGTCAAACTTACTTATATGCTAACTAATAAAATACTATTATTTTTTAATCTATTACAAAATTTCAAATGATTAATTTACTACAATACTCTGATCCATTTAAACCGGGCCAGAGAGTTTTTTTTTTTTATAATAAAAGGCAAAAAAAAAATAATAATAAAAGTATACATCACATTAAATATTAGTTTTTTTTTTTTTAGAGACAAAGAAAGTATTGTTGTATTGTCTTAATTTGAATATTAATATAAATAAATATAAAATTGAGATTATTAATAATACGGAGTAAAATCAATATTTATTATGAATATTTTGTGTTTGTGCTAGTGCCTATTTCGACAAATTGAGATAGTCAAATGAGAAAAAATTTGACAACTAAGGATCGAACATAATTTTATTAATAAAAACAAAAAATTAAATAAAAAATAAAATATATATATATATATTTATACATTCGAAGTTTCTAAAGTCCAAAAAATTTTTCCTAAAAAATTAGAAAATTGTAAAAAATAATCCGTCAACTAAAAAAATATCATTTGAAGGCTCTAAAATATGATTGAGAAATTAAATATAAATATTTGTACAGACCTCGTCGATCGAGAAATCGAGATTAGACTGAGCGACGGCCGTCCACCGCGACCGTTCCCGGCCGTTAAGGTCAAAACAGTCTTTACAGTCGTCAAATCCCTTCTGCTCCTGGCGGCGGTTAATCAGACACGTGTAATTCTTACAGGTGTAGGCGGTCCAGACGACAGAATTGTCTGGCGGCGTCGTCCAGAGGCTTTCCGGCAGGGGGCGCGGCTCGGCGTAATGCGCCGGCGCGGCGGGGCGGCAGCGGCGGCGCGGGAGCGGCTCGCAGCCGCGGAGCAGAAGCTTCTGGGCCAGGACCTCGTCGTCGGGGCAGGACCCGTTGACTTCGTAGGACATGTAGCTGCGGAGGTCGGCGGCGAAGGCGGCGCAGTGGCTGCCGACGGGAGGGAGGATTTGGTCGGAGCCGAAATTGTGGTTGAATCCGAAGGGGAGTTTTTGAGGCGCCGTGAAGGCCACGAATTCCGGCGGGAGGTCCGGCGGCGGATCGGCGGCGGCGACGGCGGCGGCGGGGTGTTGGGAATTGGGATTGGGGTTGTAATAAGAGGAGAAAGTTGTGGAAATGAGTAATGTGAGGAGATTCGAGGACAAGAGAAGAAAAAGAAAGAAGACATTTTTGTAATAGGAAAAAATTGGGTTAGTTTTGGGAGGGTTTTGGACATCCATTGTTACTATGATTGTTCATCTTTGGTTTCATTTTTATGTCCAATAATTTGTGAAAGTTGTTGGAATATATATATTCGTTAGTTAATCAAATATTATTATTATATTATTTTGTTGGCTAAATTTGTGTTTACTTTTTATTTAAATTTGTTTTTGTTAAATTTGTAATTTTCAAAGTGATACTTCAAGCATGTTAAGAGAGAAATTCAATCGTTTGAACAATACTATTTATGTCCGGCTCTAAAGGTCTTATTTACCTTTTGCGTATTAATATTTGAATATTAATTATTATATCAAAAAGTACTACAAATTAAAAAAAATTGCAAAAATACTTCAATTAGTGTCTTGTGATACTAATAGAAAAACATTTGTAAAAAAAAATTATACAAATATTATGATATTTTTAATGTTAATAAAATGAGACAAAAGAGGGGGACAGAGAGAGTGAGAGGGAGTATTTCATTAACTGCTATTTTTTTTTACCTCTTTTCTCAATTAAGTGCATATATTTATTTCTTATTTTTATAGTGTATTTAAAAAATATACTATCTCATGTAGAAATGTTATCGCTTTTTTTCATATTTTACGAAGAAAATGAATGTATTTTTTTTTTATGTGACTGAGATAGTAGCATTTACATATAATTACTTAACTAATTAAAAATTGATAATTTTTAATAGGATAGAAGAAAATAATAATAATAAAAATAAATAAATAAGTAGAGTTGGAACAACGGAAATAGTGTAATTGTAATTTATATAAAAATGATGATATTCTTGTATTAGTATAAAAATAAAATTTTTTATAATAAAAAGTTATAAAAAGTATTTGGTCGATGGTGATTTCACTTTGAAATTATCACTAATATTTACAAAATACTATAACAAAATATATATTTAAATAAAAATTTAAATCAACGCTATATTTCAAATCAAATTCATACTAAATATTTTTAATAGCAAGTTCTCTACTACATTTATTTAATGCCAATGATTAAACTTCTTGATTATAGTAAAAAAAATTTAGGGTATATTAAAAAATAAGTATATTCCTAACAATATAACTGCTGCTACAAATATTAATTAATTAATAAGGATGATTATCATAAACCTGACAATAAGTCAACTGGGCAGCTGAACTCTGTCAAGTTTAATAATAATAATAATAATAATAATAATAATAATAATAATAATAATAATAAGTGTGTTATTTGTGTTTGAAATATTTTGAAAATGAAAAAAAAATTAAAAATTCTTTATATAACTAAAGATGCAATTTATGTCTAAGATATTGTTAAATGCTGCATATATAAATATATATAATATTAAATATTTTAAGAAAATATTTATTTACTATCATTTAATTTTAAAATTTTTATAAAAATAAATATTTTCATTAGTATGAAAAGCCCTACCAATTATATATACACACCCATAAATAATTCCTTATTTTACTATTTTATGCGGTTTTTTCTTTGCTATAATTTCTTTTCTTTTTTTTTTTTTTAATAATTTGGTCATATCTTTTGTTTGCTATAACTTTTTAGTATTATTTTAAATATAATTTTGGTCATATCTTTAAAAAGGGTAAAAGAAAATTATAATATAAATAATGAAAAGTTATAAAAAAAAAAAAAAAACTTTTAGTTTATACCAAATTATTTAAATTAATAGTAGTAAAATATTTGTGACAAAACTAATAGTTAACAGGCCTTATTTGGGCTAGTCTAATGGGCCATTTTTGGATTCGACTAATCTGGTGGGCCGAACCTTAGCGAATGGGCTTCCAACTAAATTGGGCCGCTATTTTCGACTTGGGCCGTCAATATGGGCCTCTTGAATGTATATTTTTATTTATTTATTTATTTTTAATATTGAAAATTTAGTATGCAAACTTTTTGCAAGTCAAACTTATAAGTTGTTAGGCGTTTCATTATTATTGATAAATTGGAAAAAAAAAAAAAAGAAAAAAAGAACAAGTCAAAACTCCAACCCTAAAGTATGCATCTTTCTTTTTTTGATCGGATAAAGTATGCATCTTTTGTTCATTTGAGAGGGGTTTATTTATTTATTTTATTATTATTATTCAAAAGTTTATTTATTTTATAAAAAAAAAGAATATCACATTAAATAGATTTAAATGTTAGAGTTATTAAACACTAAATAAAATTTAAATATATGTCACAAAAAAAAAAACATTTACCACACAAAATATCGATTTTATTTTATTTTTTAATTATAGATTTACTAAGCATTACAAATACTTTTATACAAAGTCTTTTTATATACTAAAAATATTACAAAGTATCACTAAAATACAAAATTTATTAAATTTTCGACCAAATATAAACGCATATATTTCAAGCGGACGGAACGGAAGGAGTATTATAATTTCCCAACCAACTACAAAATATCTTTCTATACAAGTAAAAATTGAACAACTATACATATTCCCATCTAGAACCCTAAATGAAAAGACAAGAACATTCGAAGTTGTCCTAATATTACAAAGAGATGATCAATTCGACTTTTTCATATACTTAAATCCCATGGAGGAATCGAAACAATCCAACTTGTTCCTATACTTGTTCATCAATCTCAACAATTCACTTGCATTCTCCTTTGTTCTTTCACCACATCCAACTTGCAAAACTACTAGAAGCTTCTGGAAAGCTCCATGAGTTACGGCATCGGCTAGCGCGTCCTCGTTTTCTCCGAAGCTTAGCTTCGAAAGAATCGCGATGGAATATTCGGTCGCGGTGTCTGAAACCCGTAGAATCTTCTTAACGATCAACGGGATCGTTAGGGCATTCGCGCTCGCCGTTTTCTTACCTTCCTCGGAGTCGCACGCGTTGTCCAAAACGATCAACGCTTTTTCGCACGTGGATCTATTGCTATCGACGAGGATGTCGAGAATTAAGGGAACTAGCCCTAATCGGATGAAGTTTGCGAATGTCGCAGACGTGTGATTTTCTTTCTCTTGTTTCGACGTTGTCATTATCTGGTGAATGATCATTAGGCACGCTTGCGTAGCTTTAGGGCCGACGGGCATTTCCAAGACGCGAAGAAATGTTCTTTCGATGCCCTCGACTTCCATTATTCTTTCGACGACGCTTCTATCCTCGAAAATTAATTCTTTCAACATGATGATCGTGTTTTGGATCGTGGAATATTGACTGTTAGATTCGTGATTCAAAATCCTCGCCATGAAATGTAGCGAAGCCGGAGATTTCAACTTCGAAACCCCGTCTTGACCTAATGGAAAACTCCATGTTAACGTCGCCAATATTTCCTCGAGCAAATTTATGTTCGTATCCCCCGAAACACGGGCGAACGAGTCGAACACGTTAGCTAGAGTCGAGCCAATCCCGTTACCTACCATACAACGTTTGTTTCGCTCGTTCTCCTTCGCTAAATTCTTGATTTTTCCGAGCAATTCACTGCACGTCGCTTCGTCTCGTTCTCGTGCGCTAGCCAATATTCGCGTAAAAATTTCTGAGGCGTCGAAAGAACTAATCGGGATTCGCGGGGTGGGGATCCTCTCGACCCCGAGAGACTTGTTCTCAACGCACCAATCTTGGATCATTTGTCGCAACGAATGATTCGGGATCCTATCGATGTTTCTCAAGACTTGATTTGTCACGGGGCACGTGACGTGCCCCGCGTCAATCCAATTCTCGATACTCTCCCTATCGTACGTTATCCCGGTCGACAACGAGACCGGATCCTTCATCAAATCGAGCGATATCGGGCAACGGAAATGGGTAGGAATTACGAGTTCGTTACGCGGCTTTACGATCGCTTTCGGTACTTCCCTTTTCGCCGGAGCTCCTCTCCGGCCGCTGCCGCGCTTTCTCCTCCATAAAAATGGCATTTATACAATATATTGTTTATCGAAAACCTTGTAAAAACCTTGTTCTTATTCAATACTCGATGAAAACAGTTTTTGCAACTCGTCTTCCTTATATAAGTCTATATATATATATACACACGTACGTGTGTGTTTGTATGTATTGTGTGTATGTATAGATGTATTTAGGTCAAAGGGGCATGCATGCAAAAGGGTTCAAATTGGGCGTTTTAACATTCTACCTATTACAGTGTCTTTGAATTGAATGTTTGACCGTTGAATGTTTGAATAAAGAATATTATTGGCAGTTTTTTAAATAGTTTTCCAAAATTTTATTGTGAAAAAATAATAATAAAAAAATAGATGCAATTTTAACTAGGTTGGCCTTTGACTTGCTGACTTAGTCAGCGGACTGCACCTGACTGCGTTGCCGGTGCTAAACGCTGACCAGTTATTATATATATATATATATATTAAAATATCCGTACAAAATTTTGAAATTTTGAAAAAAAATAAATAAATAAGTGATAGAATATTAGCACTCCATTTGATGTAAATATATATATATATATTAAAAAAAAAAAAGGTTAAACGAGATGGAAAAAGTGTGGATATTAATAGATTGAATTTATGTACTTTTTAACCAAAGAAAATTTTAGATAATGTATTCAACAGGTTTTACCATTTTTACCAAATTTTCTATTAACCTATTTTGATTCGATTATAGTAAAAATAGGTTTGTTCCATTTTATTTATTGCACTAAAAAAAAAAAAAAAAAGACTAACAATTTAGTGAGAATAATTTTCTCGGTATAAGACAAAAAGTAATTTTTCTTACGCATATATCTTACAACCAAACAACCGAAGTTCGACGTATTATTGCATCTCATTTTTCCTACACAATACATAGTAAAAACTTGACAAGCTCGCTAAGTGAATTTTAGGTTACATTTGCTATATATGTCGTCATTCCTCGCAAATCTCCCTCTTATTCGAGGTCGACTTTTCGCCGAAGTCTTCCTACATTCATACTGCAAAAAATTGAATAATTAGTTCCGGAAATTTTCCATAGTGTATTCATTAACAAGTAAATTCTATATAATAAAATATATTTGGAATTTATTGTATAACCAAGTTCGAACAAAATAAAAATTTATTTTCTTCTCTTACCGTGAGAATATATATAATCATAGTATTCTTTTAGTCGAATATGATAACTATGAGACAAATAAATATTTTGAATATTTACTTTACTTGATTAACTATAGAATAACGTATTTTTTCAATGCAAATAGTATTTAGAATAAATTAATTTGAACTTCTCCTTATCCGATTATTATTATTATATTGGGCTTTGATTAATCTCACCCTTCAACTATTCAAACTAATCAAGTGATTAGATGAGAGAATATGATCCAAAAGTTTAAAAAACACAAACATAAAATATACTGCTCCCTCTGTCCTAATAAGATGGGCGCATTACCGTAGATACGATAATTTAGATAAAGTATAATTAATAAAAATAATTATTATTTAGTAAAAATAATTATAGATTAAAATTAAGATTAAAAAAAATTTAAATTTTAAAATATGATTAAAGTGTATATAATCAATTTTTTAGAAAAGAAAATGACAAATTATGTGAGACGAACGAAAATAGAAAATATGGACAAATTATGTGAAATGGAGGGAGGAGTATATAATTTCTTGGTTACCTATATATTTATTTTTTATATAAAAATTTGTTTAGTGTTTTTTAGTTTGAGTTATTATAATATATATATATATATACAAACTAGCTATTGTGTCACTAATATAAAAATATTTAATATTTTATATTAAATATTGATTTTTGTAAAAAATTATATTTCTTTCCTTCGTATCTAAATGTCACATTTATCTTTTGCGTCATTGTACTTAACATTAAAAATATGTTTATATTTGTATAATTTTTTGTACAAATGTTCTTCTATTAGTATTATAAGACACTAATGAAAGTATTTTTACAATTTTTTTTTAATTTATATTACGGTTTTGATATAATAATTAATATTTAAAGATCAACACGCAAAAAGTGAATGAAACTTTTAAAGCCGGACGAAGGTAGTAATATATATGTATATATTCATAATCGTATTGGTCAAAAAGAGTTGGGCAAACAAAACTTGTAAGTAAAGATGCATTTTTTAGATAGTTCGAAAGAACCTTAATTTTGTGATTGAAATTCCGTCGGCTTCTTTTGCTTTTGTATACCTCGATTCTTCGTTTCTTCTCTTCCGGACTGTATGGTCTCGCAGATTTTATTATACTGTCGATTATAGATATCTCATGGTATAGCCATCTATCACATTGCTCATGCTCCATCTTCATCTATAAAATTGCACACAAACAATTCGCGATATCACATATATATATATATATAAACAATGTTCGAAATTATAAAGTGATTTCATTACCGGTGAAGAGTCATAATCTTGCAAGAATTGATCGAACAAGGAGAGATCCGTTTCATATTGGAACTTGGGTGTGTAATTATCCGACAAGAATAACATCGACTGGCGACCTATGTCATTTGTAAATGGGAAGTACGAGGAAGGCGAGAAAAGGGCAGCTTCTTCATCGAGGTAATGAAACATGTTTGTCTGAAAATTGAATATTGAGTAATTAATAAGTAATTAAGAAAGCGGTAGAACACAAAAATGTCGATGCACACTTGGCTATTTAAAAGACAAAGTTTGTGTAGATAAATGATTGATTAGCCTAAGGATATATATGGCCGTGGAGAGACACTTCGGTAGGCAAAGTGTCCCACACCACCACCCCCAATATATATATATATATATATATAAAGTATAAAAAAATAAAATAAATTTATATATGACAGGTAATGTGTAATAGTGTGGAATAAGATAGATGATATCTTGTATGTAGATAGTGTATAAGAGTATATTTTTTTAAAGTAGTTTTTCAAATATAATGAATACATTGTAAAATAGTAAGATAGGGTTCCCTCTATCTATTTCTAAGAAAAAAAATTTAATGTGAGGTATAATGTCGGTAATATGAAAATTAATATTTTATATTGAATAGATAAAATATATATCAGAATTGTGTCGGAAAGAAAATCTTGAACAAACAAATCCAGAGATACATTATATATATTCAATTAATTGTAGCATATTTGATCTTAATATAATTTTGACTTAAAAAAATATAGTCTTTCAGTCTCTCAAATTTGTGTTCAAAATTTAGCTATGTGGATTTTAATTGATTTTTTTTGGTCTCTTATAGTGAAACATATATAAAAATTGTATAAGATTTTACTAAATAAAAAAATAATAACTATTTTTAATTAAGAGACATATTGCTAATGTAAGTAATATATATATATATATATGTAAGTAGGGAAATTAATTCGATTTGTTTGATTTTAAAAACATATAAGTAGGTGTCCTTTGAAAGAGACTTTACAATGCATGGTATGAGTTTACATATGCATTAGTTGTTTTGATGTTAGTCATATAGAGATTGGTTTGAAATGTATGTTTGCATAATTGCCGATTGAATTTTTAACGATCAAGTCTGAGTTGTAATCCCAGATTTAGACTTCGATCGAACTTAGTGAACAAATTTATGTTTTTTTATCGCTATATGTTTTGCGTTAGTAAATACATTCTATTTAAATGTATATTTATTTTTTATAGTAAATTTAACAATAATTATATTTTACTATTTAGCAAAAGTATGTACAAATTAAATTTTTGACAAATTTGAATAAATATATGTGATCCACTTTGTATTGATAGTTTAGTTGTATAATTTATGTAAAAAATATTATATATGAATTTCATTTGTATTGTGATAGCAAATATTTAAATACGAAAATGACATGAGTGTTTAATTATTTTATATTACAATTGTTTAGATATCTTCTGCTTCATCCTAGAGTTTTCTAGAAGATGAACTGAATGTAACTTAGGATTAAATTATTTTTTAAATTAGGTAAGGTCAATAATAGTATATGGCTCCACAATATGCTACCACTACTTTTTCAATCAAATACTAAACAATTTAGTTCATATGATAATAGTTTGTTACCAAGATTGATATCTAGATATTGAGTCAATAATTAGTTTGAAAAGTCCTACAATTAACGAATTATTTATTTTGATATGTTCTAGAAGTATTTTCAAATTTTAAGTTGGTTTGCAAATATTTTTTATTTTATATAATGTTAAATGAAGTTCAATATATTTTTCACATAATTTATTATTATAATTATTATTATTCAATTAATTTATACATATATCTAATATTGTAGTTGTATTTCAAATAAGATGTTTGTGACAATAAATCAACTAAGACATCAACAATGACTACCAAGGCCCTGATAAGAACCCATTTGTGTTTCCAAGGGACGACAGTTTCGCTTGAGCTACCCAAAACTCGGCTTCTTTTAGCAACGCCGCCGACTCGGGACTTCCGGCGGCGGCGTAATCTTCGTCGTCGTCGTAGTCGATATTATCCTCGAAACTTCTATCGTCGTCTACACAAAACAAATCATCCAAACCATCGTCTTCATCATCATCGTCGTCAAAATTCTCATCATCGTCGACAACTTGATCGCCCGACGGTCGAGTTTCAACGTCGTCGCCGAATACGTGCTTCTTTCTCGACTCTCGTCTCATTTTCTTCCCTTCTCGCACAAGCCGATGGAGCTCGTCTCTTATCGACAAAATCTCGTCCTTCTCGACGAGATTTCCCCGATCGTTGTACGCCTCGACTAAAAACACCGAATTTCTCGTACCCTTTACGCTTATGTAGAACATCTCTGGGTGCCTCACCAACATTGCCCTCGTCTTGTTCGGTAGTCCGAACTCGTTCCTAAAATGGGTCAAGTGGTCGATCAACGTTCGTTTCTCCACCGTCATCGCCAAAACCTCCCGTATGATGGCGCAAGCTCTCTTCTCGGCCTCGATTGATTCTTTCGGGAAATCGATCGGGTTAGTGTTGTAGGGGCAAATGTCGGGGAGTTCCTGAAACTTTACGAGATAGTCGTGATGGCGTCGCTTAACATTGAGTCCCTTCCGTAAATGTAGACGCTTAAATTTCAATGGGCGATCGACAATCAACCCACGGGACTTGCTCTCGTCTCGCGACGGGAAAACCTTAGCCAAATTTGAATCCCACGAGACAAGCTCGAGGGCCCGACCGTAAGAAGTGTCGACAGTTTTGAACCTATCGGGATGATCATTACAAAGACGGGAACGGAAGTTCACCGGGAGGCCAAGATCGGGCCCCAAATGCGCAAGCTTCGACAAGAGAAGCCTGTTGTATGGGGAAGCAAGCATCAAGAGCTTTTGGAGCTTTTCTACCAAAGAAATCGACCGATATTTCTTAAGATCGTGTTCCCTTTTCGCAAGGGCGGCCGCAGCCGGAGTGAGACGGACACAGAGCTGAGAAAGAGATCCAGCCGCATTTAATGGCGTTGGAGGAACAGGGATGGCGAACAGCTCGAAAATCGTGGGATAACGCTTGATCATCGATAGGACAGACCGCGGTTTGGGTAAGGATAGGTAAGATCGACATTTGTAGATAATGTGAAGCTGCATAAAATGCTTCGGTTTCGAAAGCAGAAGAGTTTTCAGCTTCTGAACAAACCGAATTCTGTTTTGCTTCACAACATGCTTATCTAATTTCGGATAACGGACGATTTTGTAAGGAGAGGAAGAACAGGTGATTGAGAAACTTGGTTGAGATAATTTGTTCCGATTAGATCGAAAGCTAACTCTAAACTCAGGCAGAGATGATGTAAAATGAGATTTGAGTGAAACAGCAGAAGAATCTAGAGGTGATGGAGTAACTACTAACGCCATTGCTACAAATTCCTCTAAGCAACTAATCTAGGCATTTAGACTGCAGTCATGGTTTCTAGGAAAGGAAGAATTCAAAAAACTAGAATCAGTTACAGGCTATGAATCATAAGAAAAATCACAATTAAGCAAGAGTTAATAGCTCAGTACCTTAAGAAACGAACGATTTGCAGAATTGCAGCAGCAACCTCAATTGTGAAACCTAATTAGGTCAAGCTGATTTTCCCCTCACAAATTGAGATAAATTTCCTATCACAAAGAATAATTTAGTTTAGGTTTCGAAAATTTTGAAATCATATCTTCAACACAACTCCCCAAAACCTATGCACAACAATTCTAGCAATTTATTTTTCTTCGAAAACCACAATAGACTCAAATCAGTGAAAGAATAAGGAATTTACTCATGTTCGTCATCTCTACCTCCGCTGACTCACCTTGGCTGCGATTGCCAGAGCAGGAATTCCGGAGAAAAATCTTCCGAACAGCGTTTCTCGCTATTCAACAGCAGAAATGCAGATAGCGTTTAGAGTCCGGCGGTCGGTGAATTCAGGCGTGGCTCCGCCGGCTCTATTTACCGGCGACGACGGAAGTAGAAAGAGGCGGTGGCCGGAGAGGACAGTGAGGTGTAAGCGAGCGGTGAAGAATCGACGACGGAGATGGCGATATAAAAATCTAATTTATTGGGCCATTTGTTTAAGCCCATGACAGGCCCAAATATTACAAAGTCCAATAGAATATAAAATTAAAATTAAATATTTTAACTACGTATAAAATACTTATATAAATGAAACGGAGGTACAAGTGGGTCAACCCCGCCGACGGAAGACGACAAAAAAAGTGGATTTTAAGACAATAAATAAATTCGATCGAAAACTTTGATATATTCCACACTTTGCTTGGAAAGGGTAAAGAAATGAAATTAAAAATAAAATAAAATAAACATTTAACATAATATCTTAAAAATATTATTATATATATATATATATAAATAGTATTTAAAGACAAGAAGAAAAGAATTTCTTCAACATTTTGAATAAACTCCATTAATGGTGTTTTCTCTTTTAAGAATATATATATATATATATATATAGTCATTCGAAACGACGACGTTTATGGAGTGGTCTTGGAAGCAAAGACAAGGGAAGATGAGAGGAGGATATCAAAACATGTATATATAGGTATGGTTTTAAGCATTAGATTTTATTTTTACGTGATTTACTTTAAATTTATATATATATATATATATATTTATGAGATCTATTTAATTATTATTATTTTTTTTTTATGTGTAACAAAATGGGAATGATTAGAAAGTTGAAGGATAAAATTGGCCTCTCGCATTAAAATCAAAATTTATTATTTATTATTATTATTATTATTATTATTATTATCAATATTAATAGAAAGTTTAAGGATAGAAAGTTAACCAAATGATTATTTATTATAAATGAAAATTTATCCGGATACGATTTTCAATAATATAATTCTTCATATCTCATGTAAAAAAAATTATTCAAACTCAAACACTAAATTTGTTTTTCTTATTTATTTTATTGTTGACTATTCAATTTGTTAGTATTTGTGTATGTTTGTGTCGGCTCATTGATGTGCATTTTTCTAAAAATTATATATAGGTGTATAAATTAATTTAATTCTAATTTAATACTATAGTATTGAGACATTTAGGGTGTGTTTGTTTGGGGATTGGATTTTAAATACATTGTTCATCATTTTTTTTTCCAAAAAATATAAAATCAAATACCTATTTTTTATTTTTTATATTATACTAAAAATCAATTTTATATTCAAAACATCACGCCAACACCTATTTATATCACATCATACAACTATTCAAATTCAAAATTTTTACTATTCAAATCCCAACTCAAAATCCAAATCCCCAAAGAATAGTTTAGTTCAATATCACAACAGTAACTGATTCATTCAAAAAATCTATAGATATAGTTGTACAAGAAATTAAAAAAAAATAAAATAAAATAAAATTGAATATGTATATATATATATAATCAAAATACAAAGTTTTCACTACAAAAAAAAATAGTATATTTGTAATGAAATTCCGTCCTTAAAGTTCACGTAGCTAATATAATATAATCCCTAATTCCGTCTCTAATATCATTAGTAACGGAAAAAGTGAATTTATGGACAAAAAAAATCTCGTTACAAAATTGATATTTTCTTGTAGTGTTCATGTAATTATAAGGTGCATTCACTTTGTATTTATTTCCAATCCTTTGTACTACTCAACCCCCACAATTCATCATAAAATGCATTACTCATTCTTAATATATATAGATATATATCAAATTAAAATATTATTTATATCAAAATTTAAATTCAAATTCGAAAATAAAGTGCAAAGAGTTAGGGTATGCCCATATTGGATGGTTTTCATCAACACAATAGCATTAATAATCTCCACCTATAGTTTGTAAATTTAGTCGATAGTTATTATCAATTATCACTTTTGTTTTGTGTGCTTCTTAACTATATTTTAGCCAAGGAAACATACATAATAAAAACATTAATTGATAGTAATACTTGATTATATTTTAATTTTTCATCTAACTATACAAGAACATTGAACTCACAACGACGAGTCACAATGTACGTAGTATTAATGATGGGCATTTGGATCGTGGAAAATTAATACTATAAATTCAAATTATTCAAGACGAATTATTACGTTAGCAAGTATTACATCAACTATTACTTTCATTCTATGAAAAACATACGTGATTCAAAGCAACGACTATATTGTGATTAATGTGTGTATCTTGATTAAGTTTGTTCCAATGTTCATTCACCATCTTGTCGTACTAACGATAATAGCCTAGAACGAGAAGTCTCACCATGATAGAAAAAAAAAATTATTGCTCGATTGCAAGGGATGAAAATGGTTTTTTTTTTTTTTTTTTCCTCACAAAACAGCATAAAAATACAAATTAATTCGTTTCCAATTGTGCAAATGTAACCATATTTTCTTATTTGGTCCTTAAATAGCCTTCATAATAATTCTTATCATAATTTTCGAATTTGAACAATTCAATATGTTGGCTACCCTTAAATAAGCTCTTTGAAAATGTTTGTCTCTTCTTAATTTAGAATATTTGTTAAAAACCATGATTTTGTGTTAATGTAACACCAAACAAGTTGAAAATGTTATACTAGTGTAAATCATGTAAGAATCAAAGACGAAAAGACTATAATTAAGTTACCACCATATTTTGATAAATAAAGAAATTAATTCATAGCTTGTTAATTTAGAATATTATTAGGTTTCGTTTAGATATATAAGAGTTTTGAAGGTATGATACAATTTTAGCAATGGTAAAAAATTTAAGTATTTAATGTGATTGTTTGTAAAAGAAAATGAGTACATATAATGTTTTAAAAACAAATATATTATTGTTGATAAATAGTATCGAAATTTCCAAAAGTATATATATAAATAGCCTTAGTCATTGTTGATCGAGCTTTTTGGAGGCAACAATCTACTAGTATAGAGTTCTAATTAATTAGTAACTCTATGGATGTGAATAGTTAGAATTTTCTTGTAAATCTTTATTTGAGAATGAGTTCCTTATCTTGATTTGAACTAATGAAGATTAGGGTTTCGATATACATTCCCATATTATGCTATCAAGAACCAAACTTCATTACCATATTCATACATAATTATTGTTTTGTTCAATTTTTCATTCTACGAAGACGAAGTGACAACGACGTGCTTAAAATACATATTCGCTTGTAAGAAAGCACTCATTTTAAACAATATTTTGTTTTTATATTTACTCGTATGAGAATCCACAAGGACGGAATAAGCCTAATTTTTTAAATCTAAAAACATTGAACATCGATAACATTGGATGGGAGCAAAAAAAACCGTATAGATTTAAATGCCCCCATTTTTGGAAAAGAAAACTTTAATCATACTGTCCAAAGGGACATTTTAACTCAAGGGACTTATTATCTTGAAATAACGAATATTGACCTTTTCGAAATAACAATGTAAAAAGTCGAAACTAGCAAATAGAGAAACATAGCGGAACTAAAAACACAGTCTTGCACTTGATCTATTAATTGTGTTGGGAAAATCTCATGAATTGAAAGGGAGAATAATTGATTGATTTTGATTGTGTAAAATTTTTCAATACATCAAATACAATCATAGTCTATTTAACAGAAAAGACATTAATATTGTAATTGTATATGATTTGTGTTTGTATTTAAATACAGTTGGATATGATGTTTTTTAAAAAGAAATAATACAGAGTTATAGAGGAATTGGAAAAAAAAAAAAATTATAGTTACATTTTTGTTCACTTTTTTTATTATTCATTTACCATAATTTTTTCATGAAAATGTATCATTTTTCACACATAAAAATATTGTTTGAATTCAAATTCAAAACACTATTAAAAGATAATACACCTTCAATGTTTGTGTGAAACAAAATTTATAACAATACTTGTTTTTATTATTATTATTTTTTTCATATTCAAGGGCTAATTGAAACGAAGCTACAACAAGGAATGATGAAATCAAATTGAAAACATAATTTCATATTAGAGAAAAATATCATTTAATTATCTACAATTAATTCGTGGGATATAATGTATTCATTCAATTCTTTCGATTTACAATCTGTTTCATTTCAAGAAAAGATGAGCACAAGAATTGACTCATCAGATCTACGGTTTTGAAACAGGTGCAAACAAGAAGAAGAACATCCCCAAAATCCCAAATTGAAAAATCAGAAATCAATGGATGATATATATATATATATATATTCACCATAAATCGATCACTTACTACTACTTTCGGACAAAAGCTGATCCAACAAATCAGATCCCAGGTCCTCAAGAACCACCAAATCCTCGACACCATTGCTGCCTTGATTCTTTCTTGTCCTCCTTCTGGTCGTCGAACCTCTCAGTCTGAGCAGCTTTTTGTGGAACTCTTTGAGAGCTCGAGCAGGAGAAAACCCTTCCTGGCAAGTATACTTCATCTGCTGCAACGATTCGACGACTTTCTCTAATGGAAAATTGAGGACTGCTGAATGCCCTCTCGTCGCAAAAGCAGCTTGATCGTATGCCAAACCAGCTTCTTCTTCGGTATCGAATGTTCCGAGCCAAACCCTTTTCCCGTTCCTCGTCGAATCCCTAATTTCTGCTGCGTATTTCCCCCAAGGCCTCTTTCGAACTCCGATGAACTGTTTTTGTTTTTGTGCACCCTTTTGGGATTTTGATTTTGATTTTGATTTTAAAAAAGATACCAATCCATTTAAGTGGAAAGTGGGAGCAAGAAGAGGATTTAGGAACTAGGGTTAGGGTTTTGTGTGTTGTTTTAATTGGCTTGATTAGTTTGTGGATTTTGAGGTTGTTTTCTCAGGTTGTGAGGGAGCAAGAAATGGACCAATCGACCAGCAACTTGCACTACCAAATGATTAAGGTTATGTTTGATTTGTCTAATCCGAATCTTTATATAGTTGTTTAAGACGACTATATTTTTCTTTGGGTCTTTGTTTTTTGATTTTTTTATGTGTAATTTTGCGATTTTTTATACTCTTTTCAGTCACTAATAATTTTTTCATTTATTTTTGTCACGCAAATTTAGGTTTGTTAATATTTTTTTG